TATATAAAAATATATATATTAGTAAATGTATAATGATATACCAAAGGATAGAAGGAATATTATTAGATAGCTATTGAAACTTACAGAGCTGGAGAACAAGGGGGACACTCTCTTGCGACGACCTTTCACCCCCAGGCTACCCTCGAACAACAAACATGTTGTCTCCTTCTAACGACAACTTTTTCTTTGACGATATTTCGTTCTTGATGTTTCCAAATCATGGTGCTGCAGTGTGATAACGGTCTCACTGCTTTTTGCATACAACGACAATCACTTCATGGCCACAACTTTCGCTTTGCGACCTATTTGAGCTGTGATTGTTGTTGTCGTTGTTGTTGTTTTTCAGAAAGCTTTTGTCTGTTTTGTTATTGACGTTGTTTTGGAGTTTTAAAATGTTCAAAATGTGGCAAACGTGTCTTCGCCAGGAGAGGTCTCATCGGCCACAGCAGAAGCCTCAAATCATCTTAATCTTTAATATTTTGAATTAAAAATTCTTCTGTTTCGCTATAGAAATAATCTCCTCTGCGGATGTATTGATCATCGTCAAGCATTGAAAGACGAGCTATTATTCTTTTGTAGAAACAACTCACTCACTTGAAAATGGAAAGAATGTTTCGAACGACAGCGTTCGCTATGTAACATTCAGAAACGGAAACGTTGCCAATGAGGAAAGGAGACATTAGCTTCATGCTTGATGGATATTGATTGCTTTGCGAAGAAACGAAAACTACACTTCTTTGTTGGTGTTAATAAATTATGCACATTCATATACATGGAAGAAAGAGAAATGTAAAAAATGTTAAAGGAACCAGTATTGTACAACGATACAAAAGGACACAGGAGAGAAGTACATCTCACGGCGCGTGGAAGGAAAAGGCAGAAAATTCAGAAGGTTCATCGGCGCAGGCTTCCATCCGTGTATGTGAGCATGACACGAATCTAAAATAACCACTTTAACAGTTATTCCATAAGTCCATATCCTAATACTTTTATTTTCCGGGCCGCACTCTCTCGAAGAAAGTATAAACAAACAAACAAACAAACAAACAAACAAACAATCAAACAAACAAACAAACAAACAAAAACCCAAGCAACTGCCGTCTTCTGAAAAATACCATTCTTGAAAAAGAAGGATCAGAAGCGACCGACCCCCATTCAAGATTACTATGCCACTTGAATCTCACAACTTCAGCTCTTCAACAGTAAAATCCAACATTCTTTTATCAAGGTTATCAAAAACTGTATCGAGTCATTACAGTATTTCCAACAAGAAGATTGGCTTTCGGGAATTTAAATCCAATTTTAGATATTACTATAGGCTCATTGTCATGGATGTGTCTTTGCCCGGGGACTGCGAGGGACAATGGGGAGCAAATTGCCATGTCATCTATAATATTGTGATCAAGCGGTCGATGACTGTGGAATACGTACTCAGTACAAACACGGAGTATTTTGTAATAAGTTATGTATTCCCAATAATGGTGCCGGGGTCAACGATGAGGTATAATCTCTCCCATGTATTCGAGCATCACGATAATCACAACAGCAAGAAGTGTACTCTTCCCATGAGTCACAGCAGCTGGCGTAAGCCCATTAATTTTGACCTTCAGCCGTGGCCAAGGAACACGCAGAGAATGAGATAGATGGGACCTTAGATAGTTATTGAAACTTGACAACAGCGCGTATGAGAGGCGGGGAACAAGGGAACGAATACTCTCTTGCGACGACCTGTTACCCCCAGGCTTCCCTCGAACGACGAACATGCCGTCTCCTTCGATGGAAATAATATTTGGGGTAGGGGGTAATTTTTACCTTGACATATGAGGGTATGATAATGTAATGATGTCTACCTTATACTTTCGACAGGCGCTGAACTCTTGGAAAACTTGAGCCAAGGTCGTGACTGTTAACGACCTCTCCACCAGGGAGCCGTTGGTGAACTGACAGTTGAGCATTTCCTTCACCTTTTGTAGCGACTCTTCCTTCATGTCATTTCTGGGGAGAGAGATTTTAGATTAAGTATTGATAAGAGTTTTACGGCACTTGCAGCACAGATAGCTCATACTCATACACGTGCCGAATATTCTTCTTCTCGTTCATCTTTAAATGGACGCTCTAGTTTCTAATGCGAAAACTGCTTTAAGTCGCAGGTCCCTCAGGCCTCCATAGTACAGGATCCCTTTGCCTAAGGTTGGTCCAACATTTCTTTCCACGTGCCTCGAGCATTGGCTTGGCTTGCAGCAGATTGTACCCTATTTGATTGCCGGTTCCGCACTGACACTGCTCTGATTTTCTGATCTTGAACTTAGTGAAGTTGTGGTATTTCAGTTGATTGTGTCCTGTCCTATATCTGAACGGAACAACTTGATCTTGACCAGGGAGGAAGTAGTAGGGGTCATGCTAGTTGCAGTTTGGGTCTTGTCCCATCCACTTTGCTTGCAGCAGTGTCGAAGATTAAAGGTGTTACTTGAGAGTAACATACAAGGTAAAGAAGGAGGAGAGAGAACTCAAGGTCCACTTTGTTGGCGCGTCTGTGATGTTGCGGTTAGGTTAGATGGTCTACATTGCTTCAATGATGACATAAAAAACGTACATTTATTAAAAAAAGACAAAAAACTCAAAATCAAATACACGAACATTTTAGTGCTACCAGAGAGTTTTACAGTGTTCTCTGGTGCAGTAACAAAAGATTCACAAAAACTCAACACAGGCGTCTTCAGCACTCACTGGCGGTACAAGGGAAGTTTTGGTGGCCAACGGTCATCCTCATAAAGTAGCAAGGGCTCGAACAAGAAAAACACCTCCGGGTGAGCGCTGATGATCGCTGACGTGTAGGTGGAACCACTTCGCCCGTGAGTTACCAGGAGAATCTGCGAGCGTTGAGGCTTGTTCTCGCTACTGTATGTGTTGGTTGATGTGACTGGCCGGTGTTTGAGGCTTGTCTGTTTTCTGTCCCAGTCCACGGTTTGGACTGGTATGTTCCCTGTGGGAGAGATATAATACAAGGAAGCTTTTTTCGATATGTGGTGCAAGACTGGGGTGCAAAGAGAGTACGGAGATAAAAAAAGAAAAGGAACAGAAAGAAAGAGAGGGAGAGAGCGAGAGAGCGAGCGAGAGAGAGAGAGAGAGCGAGCGAGAGAGAGGGAGAGAGGGAGAGAGAGAGAGAGAAGACGTTAATACGATAAAGATAATATAAGGGTAGAGCTATAGTTTGAGAGAGAGAGAGAGACCGAGAGAGAGAGAGAGAGAGAGAGAAAGATAGACTGACAGACATAGAGAGAGATAGAGAGAGATAGAGAGAGATAGAGAGAGTTGGAGAGAGAGAGAGAGAGAGAGAGAGAGAGAGAGAGAGAGAGAGAGAGAGAGAGAGAGAGAGCAAATTAGAAATAGTGGGAGGGAGTCAAAGATGGCTCAAAACTGCATACAAAAAAACTTATTAAAATACCCCGACGGAGAGAAAACCTTCAGCAATGGCTCTAAATCGGACTCTGCCATAGATGCTGCTGCCCTAACCAAAAAAGAAAAAAATCAACATGTTATGCTTTAATCCGAGGCTTCCATTTTTTTTCTGCCGAGGTCACTACCATTGACATGGCATTGGAGTCTAGAACATTCTCCCAAATCATCTATCTTTTCTCACTCTGTCCGATTCTTTGCCTTGCCTCCAGTCATTCTCCGATTTCTTACTGTAAATCCTTAAAATTACTATGATTACAGTCAACAATTCACTCCTCGACTGAAGAGGGAAAGCGTATTATTTTTACATGGCTACCTAGCCATGTAGGCATTCAATGAAAAGAGCAGGTCGATCTTCTGGCGAAGTATTCCCTGTCTCTCGAGTAGAGATCAACCGAGAGCACCCCCACCCCCTCAGACAGACTTGTAAAATAAGGGCAAAAGCTACATCTCCAATCTGTGGGAGTATCACTTTAGCGAACAGGTGAATAAAGAACTCTACAATATGTGAGGCATCGTGGTGAAATCAGGCGCTCGTCAAAATAATGAAATTGAAGAAACTGGCATTTTTTCCTCTAGTTGGGCAATTTTTCTCGACTTTGTTTTGGGGCTTAACATCTTTTATGTCCATATTAAATCACAGTTCCATAGAATTTTATTTTAAAAACGCTGATAAAAGGCATAAAATATATAGATTTTCAGTTTTCAAGGAAAAGCTACAAAAGTTACAAAAGTTTGGCAGCCATTTTCTCGATAATTTTACCAATCCAACCATGCTACCCCCACCTCCTTCAATGGCGAATATTTTGACTTCTATTTAAGATAGATGGGTATTTTTTTCATTGTAAGTAGGGAAAACGAATGAGCTTTTAGATGATACCAATAACTCCATATGAACAAAGATTGACGAGCGCCTGATTCTAACACGTCATGACACATAAAATGCCCAAGTTGAGTCCACGAAAACCTTCGGGTCTCTCCTGGAGAGACGGTGTTATTTGAACAAAATTGCGTTTCGATTAATAATCTATTTATAGAGGCATCAGCCATCCATGATTGCGATACTGACCAGACTACCAATAATGTATTTACAGAGGATGGTGTCAATACTGTTTTTTACGATCAGGCACATCATTAGTCTGTGCAGCATTTCGAAAGAATGCAGGACAATTTAAAAAGCACTAATTTAAATAATTTGTTCTCGGTCTTTGGATAAATCCCAACAGAATTCTTGATTCAATTATAAAGACAATTGGTCTTTCACCCAAAAATGTACAAACACATGAACTATACTCTGTGAGCAGTTGGCGGGTGCTCCTCCTTTCCTATCAAACATCTATCGTCCTTATCTCCTCCTTCTTTTCTTTGTATGTTACTCTCTAGTAGCAACACCTCTAACGTCTGACACTTGTATGACCTATATGTGTTGTGAGTGCTGTATAAGTCTTACAAAAACTGTACTAACGTTTACTTTTTATCCATGTTTCTGCTCCGAATTGAGACTGACCTTGGTTTTTCTCCAGAGACAAATGTAGAGTGGATATCCAGAAAAGCAGGCCGCTCACGAAAGTTAACAGCTCCAGGTAAATTCTCAGGCGAGTGGGCGGGAACCACATCTTGAGGCTGCAACAACAAAGCTGTCAGTCTGTCTGAGTGGACAGAGGTACAAGGGTACGATAGCGGTCATTTGCACGGCCTCATGGTGGAATCACGCGCTCTTTAGTGTAATGAATTCGAAGAAACCGATATTTCTAAGCTTGGAGGGCAATATTAAATGACGATTTTGTTGGTGGCTCAACACCTTTTATGTCAATAAAAACAAACTGACAAACAAATAAAATTCCTGAGTGGATTTTATTGAAAATCATTGATCAAAGGGGTGAAAATGGTAAATTTGCAGTTTCAAAGGACTCTTAGGTATTGGAAGTGGAAGTCACTAAACGTTGGGAGCCATTTTCCTCGTTAATTTTACACCTGTTACCCAGCGACTCCCTCCTCCTCCTCCTCCCCCCCACATCTTTAAGTGACTAATAGTATTATCTTGAGACCAAGGAGATGGGCATTTTTTCATCAAAAGCGAGACAAACGAACGAGGTGTAAGATGATTCCAATAGCTCAAAATGCCCGAAAACAGGCAAGCGCCTGATTCCACCGCATCGTGACACATAATTAAAATTTGTTCATAGATACGATGACGGTCATTCAGTTTTAGATATGATTGAGGATCAAACAGAATTAACACTCATTTATTAAAAGCGATAATTTTCAAAACAGAGAACACTTAAAACAATTACAAATCAAGGCAACCAGCTTTCGCCCGTTTTTGCCAGTTTGTCAGAGTTGGACATGTAGCATATTGACGTGTAGCTTCCTTTTTTTTTCTTGGAAACAAATTTGTCTCTGTTCGGAGTAAGGTTCTGTATTATAGAGATTCTCAAGGCCGACTTCTTTAAGTTCTCTCGCGGGCCTGGTATAATAGTTCACCAGGCTGGATGCAGACTGGGAGCCTTGAAGGTTGACTGACACCTGTGCTCTAGCTTGAACGGTATTATTGTCAATAATTGTTAATTTATATTGTAATATGATACACATATTAAGAGTTTGACCATGGGTCTGTTTGAAAGTGTATGTATGTAAAATGTTTGCGCACGCTCGGTGTGTGTATGTGTATGTGTGTGTGTGTGTGTGTGTGTGTGTGTGTGTATGTGTGTGTGTGTGTGTATGTGTGTGTGTGTGTGTGTGTGTGTGTGTGTGTGTGTGTGTGTGTGTGTGTCGTGAAGCAATGAACTTTAATCTTACTCGTACTCTTACAGACATATAGAGGCATCTATATATATATATATATATTTGGCAACTTGGAAACACATGTGTCACTTTTCACATAAAACCACGACAGCTATAGAGTTGAAAGTTGGCAAGTACCTGCAAAAAGATAGATAGGTCCCCATGACGGAGCCCATGATTTTGATCTATTCATTTCCTGAGTTTAGAAAAATTTATTTGACTAAAAGTTCCTGTCCTTCCTTAGCCTTTGTGATTATTCCACCGAGAAACGAAACAAATCTGCGTAGTTGTCCTTCAGAGCGGAAGTGCCGGAAGAGATATTTCGCGAGGCGCTTTTTGTTTTGAGAGTATAGTTCTAGATTTTCTAATTTTTTGCATCTCTCAAGATTTATTGCTCCATTCCAGCAGAATGTAAATATCGTCAGCCAATGACTTTCAGTTGATGTTAATTGCACCGATAATTTTTTTTCAGCTAGTTTCGTATATTTCTGTAATCATCTGTCCGAATGAATAGAAGCACACTGATAGGACAACGACGGTCATTCAGTGCTAAAAAGTAGCAATGCAGACATTTAGAGTCGAATGATTGGAGGTGCTCTGGTGTGGTTTGCTCAATCTCTCATCTCAAACATCTATCTTCCTTATCTCTCCTCCTTCTTTACTTTGTGTGTTACTCTCTAGAAGTACCTCTTATCGTCTGCACGTATATGACTCATTTGTGCTGCAAAGGTTTAAAAACTCTTTACTAAAACTAAAGCTAAGACATAATATAGAAACAACAGAGGTAAATTAAAGAAGTACAATTGAAGAAAATGGTTGTCTCAGGCAGATGTGCGTCTTGGGCAGTGTCCTTGTAAAATTATACAGAAGAAAACCGCTAAAGGGGAAGTGGAAAGTAATCTTTTGGTAAAGTGATGTTCTTATACAGGTAGCAATTAAAGCAAGTTGAACTGCATAATATTGAACACCACTTTCAACTTGGTAAAATTGTTTCGAAAGTGGAGTCTCCTCTTCAACATTCATCCCGCGCTCATAATAAGACCTTAATATGCAGTAGCGAGCGCGGTAAAAGTTTCACCAAACCAACGAATATTCTTCTGTGATGGGCCACGTCTAGAGTTACCGACGAAATCTCCGATAACAACACAAGTACACACACCCTGGTCGGTTAGGTTAACGATTGTTGAATCAATATTCTCTCTACCACAGCTCAACATACATTCAACCGAGAAATATAAAGAAATGTAAACAATACATTTTAATATGCCTGTTTCTTTGATAGGACCTCTCTCACAAGTGGCAGATTGATTTGGGAAAAATGTAATAGAGGGGAAAATAACAGATGTACAATACTTGAGTAGTAAGCAGCGTTCAAGTCTTTACGAGATTTTATTGTGGAGTTTCAGTTTAAAGATTGATCTAAGTGGGTTTTTTATAGTAAGCTGATAAATCCTTGCTGCTTTGTTCATAACAATGGTTGTAACCTAGTTGTAACGAAAGAAACTTCGCTAAGCTCATGGGCAGTGTCATCAAGTTCGTGGGCTGATGCTGTCTTGCCTTTTGGTTTACTTGAAAAGTCAATTTTATTCAATTTTCTGTTCACGTTTTATATGTAAAATAATAGTGACTGAGGTTCTTGTCTTGTTTCCACAGGTTAGCTCAGATTAATATTGTTGGCACAAGTAGAGTACTTGGATCATTCAAAACAAGGCAGCAGCGGTAGAAGCAAAAACAATGTAAAAAAACACAAACGTCTACAGTAACAACAAACAGCAACATCAATAACGACGTAAACAAAAACGTTAATAACAAAAAGAAAGAACAACACCACCATCACCACCAGCAACAGCAACAACATCATCAACAACAGCATCAACAACATCATCAACAACAACAACAACAAAAACAACAACAGCAACAGCAACAACAACGACAACAAAAACAACAACAGCAACAACAACGACAACAAAAACGGCTGCTAATCGGGAAGTTTTAATTCTATACTTTTGGAAATTTGCAGGAGTAGAAAAATATATTTTCCACAGCCCTTCAGGGTTATAATACTATTATAAAAATAAGGAGTTGAAATGAATAATACATACGACTCGAGAGATGTAGATCTAATTAATTCAGCTCACCAGCGACAGTGAGAAACCCGAGTGGCAACAAGAAATTTTGGTTTGGCTCTCGAGCGATTGGAATGTATGATTTGTATCCAACAGAAAGGAATGGCATGTGGATATTGCCAGGGTGTACTGGATATCTTTTCCTACATCTAGGTGTTTTTACGCCTCCCTCGACACGTTTTAGATCAATTCGGAGGCAGGCCCCGACCCTGCCTGTCAAAGCCAACCAGGGCTGTGAGGGATATCGCATCAAAGCTAAAAGACCGAAATACTCAAGAAAAAATCTCCCCACTCGGGAATCGAACTCGGGTCCCAAGCGTAAGACAGTGAAGCGACGTCGGTCACATTGTACTGCTGAAAGTTGAGTTTGATCGGAAGTCTCTCAGTTCCACATTACTACAAAGACACCCCCCCCCTTTTTTTTCCTACTCCCACCCCCATCCCCACTCCAAATGTAATTCTAAGGTAACGAATTAAGCAGTCTATTGGGAAATTTAACGTTACAGATTTTGAGTTTCACATCAGGTCAAGCTTTTTCGAATGTATTTCTTTGCATATCTGGATAACGACTCCAAATAATCTTACGATTTTGATAGAGCAAATAGAACATCTGGTTTTTTATCTCATAGTCTTAGTGACTCAAAACGGCCAAAAACGTCAGAGAGACCTTTGTAATTCTAAGGTATCGAATTAAACAATCGATTAAATAAAACCCCACCAAGCTAATCCAAAAAATTGTCGTATTCAGAAGACTACAGCTATTGATAAATCGAATTCCATGAACAATTGCAGCCTCCATGTTAATGTAAACGGCTCAGAATCACACACACACACACACACACACACACACACACACACACACAC